AAAAAAACGACAATTCCATGCGAAAACGCAATCAGAAAACGGGACGTGCTGGAATCCTCAAAATTGTGCTATACTATGCTGAAAATTCTCGTTTCTCGTTCGTGATTCCAAAAAAACAATTGCATAACAACCGTAACAGTGATCTAGCAAAAAGCCATATGAATAATCAAAATAACGAGACGAACAAAAACAATCATAAGAACCCTCATAATCATCAAACGAGATATTTATTATGAACAATGAAACGAGAATTTTGAAGATTTATGAATTTTTGATTCTTGCAGAAATAATCACTTCTCTCTGTTATGAATTATTGTTACATGAAAAGAATTTTTCGACTGGTTTGTAACAGTTAGATGAAAACTCTAAATTTCTTGCTTCAGGAGGATATGATTCCTCGCTTCTCATAATTATAATCAACATTGTTTCTTTAATAATTGTCTTTACTGTTTCCATTCTGTTCAAACGTGTTTACTTGTACTATTATAAGTTTCTGCGATGCCAAACGAGAGTGATCTATCTAGGAGAGTCAGCACTACAATAAATAATCAATCGTTCAATTATCAGTTTTCACTGTATTCATTGCCAATTCTTCAATGCGTCCACTTGAAATGTCAAGCAGAACTACTCACAGGTGTTTAATTTGGTTGCGTTTATTGGGTTAAATATCCAGTTCTTAGTATGTAAATTACTAAACAATGTTCATTAGGATTAGGCTAAGTTAGATTAGAATGATCAGTACATGCAGTAAACAACCTTTCGAAAGATGCAGTAAAGATAAGGAAATCCAGAAAACACGAAGCAATAAAGTAACTGAAATAAACGAATCCAAATCCAAAAAACAGATTGGGATTGAAAAATCCCGCTCTCCCGAAAATCCCGATGTAAAATCCCGGAAAACTATGCAAAATCCCACGGTAAGGATTTTACATTTAAATGTCAGCAACCCAAAATGCACAAAGTAAGTGATTGCATCAGCATGAATCATGTGTGCCCTATCATTCGATTCATGAACATTTGACATTTGATACTCATTTTCAATATTCACCTGATGAATTTCATGATTTCCATGCATGTCCTGCACAGAAACCTCAGCTGCGTCCTTCAACAACATCTCCGTAACGTCCGGTTTCGAGTCCACCGTTAACATGTTATAGTACAGCGGGGTTAGTTTCATTGGATCACGGTAGTTGGGTGATGCACCAAGCTCGAGCAATGTTTTCACGTTTTCTAACGATGACAAGAACGCTGCCTTGTGCATCGCTGTCTGAAATTCGCTTACACGTTTAATGATCATTACAGACATCGCATGATATCATATCTCTTCATGGGGAATATTAATATACTGTGAATGAAGATAGGCGATGTTCAGTCGTGATCACATAATTCTAGGGTAGGCCAACTATGAAAGAACTCAAAAGAAGTGGAAGCCTGTCTGCTCTAACTACTGATAATAAACTTAGATTGGTTGAGGCCGGGCCTCTGGCTTCAATCAGTGATTGAACATGAACCAACCAAATGACATGAAACCAGATTTGTTCCAGTTAATGTTATAAGGCGACATATTATGTCAGATCAACATTTATGAATTAATGCATAATAAAGTTCTACATTAACCAAACGACCGTTCATAAATGACTAATGACAACAAGCGATTCTCATTTCATCTACACTATTCAGTCGAATCAGTCAACTGAACGTTTGATGACAAGAAAGGAACATGTTCAACTAATCTAGAATTCTGATTGTGAACAAGTTATTACAACAGAAAAGGGATTTTCTGAAGGTTCAGTCGAATATGAATTCGAAGTTTGCTATTCCACGTCCATTTTTCTCGACGAATCTCAAGGATACTATCGAGCCCAAAATAGCCCAAGGTGAGCCAGATGCAGTCAATCAGCTAAGTTCCAACCTGTCCCTCGGCATTCCTGAAATCAATATGCGCCCCTCCACCAATCAGAGCCACAATCACAGCGCGATTATCCGTCACATCGACAGCATACGTCAGTGGACTGTCCCCGTTGGCATTATGAAAGTTCGGGTCCAACCCAGCCGAACACAACTTCTCCACTTTATCAGCGTTTTTCCCGTGAACATACTCCATAAATTTCTTCAAATTTGCCTGAAAATGGCAAAAACTGATCGAAGTATTTTGATATTGATAGGATTTCGATGAAAATGCTATGGTAAACGTTACTGGAGTTGACATTGTCTTATGAACCGACAAATCGCATCCAGAACATACTTTCAATTGAAAAATGTATCTTCCAACTTCCCTCGGGAGACTTGCTTTGAACAAAATTTTCATGTTTTACCTGTGAGAGCTTTCTGGCGATTTCCAAAACATGAGAGCTTTCTATTAAGTACCGTTACTTGTAAATGACAAAT